TTTCTTGTCTGAGCTAAGTGTTCCCCTTGCTTAGATCAGTTCAGCATCACTTACTGAGTAAGCCACACCTACCTACATCCATCTCTCATAAAGTTGTTGTATATCTGCTATGCTGGGCACCCTGCCAGGCACACACATGCTCTATCATGCAAACATCAAATGGAACCCTTTAAACATACTGTTTGCAATTGTAATATTATATTTCTTATGATGCATATATTAGTTTTGCAGAGTAAGGATTTCTTTTAAAATTTTCATCAGAAAAGTGAGCTTAGGCATGGAGAAAGGAAGAACCTATCTCTGCTGCCTTGATTTCACCAACTGCCTCCAAAATACATCTACAATATACATCTTCAGCCTCAGTTGCAGCAAGATTTTCACAGTTCTGCTGTTGCTGTAGAATTCTGAGCCTGTACTACTAAAGCTTCTGCATCTTATTTTGTGTTGTTGAAATACATGTCTATTATATATCACAAAAACGTAAGGAAGACTCAAGCTTAGCTCTCAGGAGTTTATAGGGTAGGGAGGCATAGAAACAGTTATAATTCAAAGAGAAAGGAGCTAAATTATAGGAGGATACAAAACCCAGCACATGAGTCTGCTAAGGGATGTGTGGGAAGGTTTCATGGAAGGAGGTATGTTTGAACACATAAGCATGACTAGAAGCTTTCTTAGTTGTAAAAAAGAGCAGGGAATTCCGAGTTGAAGCCTGTGAAAAACCAATGAGGCATAAGAGAGTATGGCACGTTTGGAGCCTATGCCAAGAAATTGCTGACTGATAGATGAAAGGGAATTCTGTGAATTGGCATTGAGAAGGTATTCCTGGCATAGGAATAGGTTGATCATTCTGTAATTTTGGTCATGTAGCCAACCTATAGTCTCTATGAGATATTATCTGGCCCTCCCCTCCCCAAACCATTTATTTTCCCATGATTAATGTGTGAAGTATTTTGTTTTGGGGGGAAGGGCATGTTTAGGAACCATCTTTGTAGTTTTCCCCTAAAATAAATAGTGTAATACAGTGGTGACTAATGAACACTGAATTGGGCATCAGGGGACCTGGATTCTTATTTTCCAGCTCTCTCAGGAGACATCACCTAAGCCAAATCGTTTAACAACTTTGTTTTTTCATTAGTGAAATGGGAATATTAACACCTGCATTGCCTACCTCAGAACTGAAAATGAGACACTTAAAAATAAAGAGGTGTAGTAAAATCTTTTATTTGAAATTCTGTTAGTTGAGTTTAAACTGGCATTTATAACAAGTAAAATATTTTGAAGAGTATTTGGATGGAAAATTAGGTTGAAAAATTATTGTCAAATGGAAATATTTTACTTCCTCCTTAACCTCATATATCTGCCTTTATGTTTTGGGGGCTTCATGTAGCTTATTTTCATGTTTTTAAAGCTAGCATGGTAAAAAATTTAAACTTCCCTGTGTTCTAGCATGTATATCCTAGACCCCTTCAGATTCCTATTATAACTATTAAATAATAATTTATTTAAGATTTATGTTAGTAAACTATGAGTTGATATATTTCATAGTAAACTTTGATAATTAATATCTATTAAGTAGTTTGAATTACTCTCAATCATTTGTAGTGCTAGATAGTTGTATGATTTGAATTTTGTTCCATTTCAGAGATACAAGAGGGTTCTGATTCATTCAGTTAGAATGGAGAATTTATACAACCCTGGACTTCTGCCTGCTTTGCCAGTTTTCCTAGTCCAATGACAGATTTCTTGGACAATATGTGCTAAATGTTAGGAATAACACAGACCCTGTAATGGAGGAATGGTTAAAAAAAAGTATAGTACAATTGCTATGGAAGATGTCACAGAAAAGAACAGAAATTGAGCTGTACCTGGAAAGGTGGGTTGAGTGTAGAAAAGTTGAGACAGGAAAAGATTTCATGCAAGACAGACCCCTGGAGAAAAGTGAGAAAGAACAAAAAAAACCGGTACAGTAGAGAATGGCAAGTTGTTGTTATGAATACTAGGGACAGCAAACTGCTAGAATGTATGGTGACTTCTAAGTGCTGGACTTAGTTGCTTAATTCTTTGATTGATCCACTTATTGAACAAATGGTTTCTCAAAGCTCAGAGGATAAAATACAAATTTCTTAACTGTCATGTGTGGCCTTCTGCTGTGTGGTTTCTGCGTAATCTTAAAATCTACTCCTCTCAACACTTTGTACCCTCTTTGCAGTCATATTGAACTCTTTCCAGATATATCGAAGACTTTGCTGATCCTTCCAACATGTTGTACTCCCTCAAATCTGTGCGGTTCTGCCTAGGCTATTTCTTCTAGAGTATGTCTGATGAATTTCTCATTCTTCAGCCTCAGTTGCAGCAAGATTTTCATTGTTCTGCTGTTGCTGTAGAAATCTGAGTCTGTACTACTAAAGCTTCTTCATCTTATTTTGTGTTGTTGAAATACATGTCTGTTTCCCTCACTCAAATAGGAGCTTCCTGTGACCAAGGGGTTGTGACTTATTCATTTTTATAGCCATATCACCAACTATAGTACCTATAGATAATTCAACTAATGTTTTTAAAATAAAATGTTCATTGAACACAATTTACATCATGTGTAGTTTCATTTTAAAAGAGTGATCTAGAAGCAATGTGATTGATAGACTGAGATGGGAGATGCAGGGAGACCAGTTACATGTGTCTTCTTTAAACACCTTATTTGTTTTAAAAAAAAAAAAACAAGGGGGATTAGATTCCTGGAAAATTGGTAAAGAGAAATGATAGGATTTGTGGCTGGCTTCTATAGGCAAGAGAGAGGAAAGAGGAAAGATAATAAAGATTCAGTATGACAAATAGAAGGACAGTGACCCTTGCAAAAAATAAGATTACTTTCAGATAAACATGTTGTTTCCCAAGTCAGATCTCGTATTAGCAATTCGCCTCACCCCTTCTCTGCTTGAAAGATAAACACTCTGTTCCTGTTCAATTTATTGGAATTAAGCTCACAATTCATGTGATCCCCATTTTCATATCTGACCTGGAGTTTACATGTGAAATATAAATAGTTCAAGCACACCTGTACAATTTTCTATCAAGGGAAAGTGAGCAGTGCATAGGTTTTTGAATATATAAAGCCTATTTCTGCTTTTGGGAGCTGCAACTGAACTGTTATACCAGCCAGATGCACTGGGGTGCGCTACTATGTAGCAGAGCCTAGCTGTGCATCACAGCTCTTAACTTTAAAACTCCAGAGAATTTGATGAGAGAGGGATCCACAAGAACATGACAAATGATGAGAGTTCAAACCTTAAGAGAAAAATGGGCTTATTGGTAAGAGACCTTTCTTTTCCTTTATTTACTGCTGTTACTTATTCATTGAAATAGCAAGCCTGTTATTTTCATATGTGGCTGTGAAGCGGTATACAAAAATCAATTTTACATGTATTGTAGAATTTAGGAGACATATTGGTAACCGTGTAAAAATCATAGAGAGCTTATATAAAGCTTGATTTTTAACAAAATCTCTAAGGAAATTTTATTTGACTTCAGACTGTGGTATAGATTTGTTTATATAGCTTAAATGTAATCCAGGTTAAGAAATATATATTTAAAAAGTTAAAATAAAGAACAGTGACTTGTGTAGAAATACATAATTTCACTCAGTTACCAGAAGGTGGCACACCAGATTCTTCTTACATACACAAAGAAAAGGAATAATATTAATAGGAATATAAAATAAGATGTATTTAAAGATATTTTAATGTTTTTTAAGCAAGGAAATGTTATAATTGTTATTTGCTTGGCAAGGCTTGTGCTAAAACATGACAAATATGAATTTAACTTATTATAGCTTTTAATCGTTCAACAATAATATTTATATTATAGCATTTTAAAAGTAGACTTTGAAACAATATTGTCAGCAAGGAGATGGTATTTAGAATTTATCATGCTAAGAAAGAAAATATTTGCCATTTACCTTTATTCATTGAAAGTCATTGGATTTAAGACAATCTTTTAGGTAAGGTCTTTGTCAAGGTCTTTGTAAAGATACTATTAGACTATGACTTTGATTTAGTTACGACTTTAATAAGGCAATAATGCTTGTGAGATGACCCAGAAAAAATTCAGACAGATTATTTCGAAGAAAATGTTAGATGAGGCTAATGTTTACTTTCTAGAAGCTAATAACAATGTAAATAGAATAAGTGTAAATAAATTACATATTGTGTTAGAGCTTCTCAAACATCTGCCAACATGCTGTAATTTATTAAGAGAGTTGACTGTCGGCAGTATATACTGCAGTGCTTCTGTAGTAGTCTCTATTTTTAAAACTGCATTCCTGAGGCAGTACCAGAAGTGTGTCTGTCCAAGGTTGCTTTTTTGTGTGTTTGCCTAAAGGAGCTAGATAAATGGCAGAACTTCCCCAACACCAAATCTTCTAGTTAGAAAACAGTACATCTATTTATATGTTTTTATTAATTACAAGCAGAATGAAAATAAGAAAATTGGTAGTAAATGAGCCCAGAAGAACATTAACCATCTGTTCTCTGAAAGCTTGTAATGTGTGTCATTTGCTTTCAGGTTTTTATGGCAAAGCGGTATATCAGCAAAGAATTGACCTTTAGGCTTAAAAAGCTAGAAAATGACAAATCACTTCAAGGACTGAGTATATGTTTACTGGAGAAGTGTTTCCTTGTGTCCAAATTTGACTAGTTTAGTCTTGTAGATCTGTTGTAAATAAATGTTGTACTTAATGTCAATCTTTATTCCAGAGTTTCTAAAACATTAAGAGAGCTTCCAAAAACAAATAGAATCTAATGACTTTCTAGTTAAGCTTTTAAAAAGTCAATTTACATAATTTTAAATTGTTCTGTGTGGCCTTAGTTGTTTAGGGTTTATAAATATGACTTATTAATTTACCGCTAATATGCTTTCAGGGTATGCTTTGAAAAATTTGAACTAAATACAATGAAGCCACAATTAACCAGACTTTTTTGTTTTGTTTTTTTGCACTCCACTTTCAGGAGACGGAGGCAATTGTCTTTAAAACAAGCCGATTTCAAGGATATATTCAAAAAATCAACTTCAGGGTATGTCTAAGGGTCTGCATTTTCCTCTACTTTTTTTTTCAATGAGAATTTATTTTTATAAAAGACCCTGAGAGAGCAGAAGACATTTAGTTATCAAGTAAAGTTTGATGATGTCTAAGATTTTGTGTTTATTTAAAAAATTATTAAAGTACCACATATCATTTATTGTGCTTTATATTTTCCTGTGTGCTTTTGCAAATATAAGTTCATTTGTTTTTCATAACATTGCTATGAGATGAGCAAGGAAAGTTGCATTTTTCCTAATTTACAGATGAGGAAAATAACACTAAAGGTCATAAAGCTAATTAGTGACAGAACTGCAACCAGACCCAAGGTGCCTTGTGCTGTCCTCTTACATTCTTCCTCATGGAAAAAAGTTTAAAACAAGTTTTTAGCTTTTAAATTTGTAATACACAATCAATATAATTTATACTATTTAAAAAATTCTTGTCCCTCATAATCTCCCACTTTTCATCTTTTTGTCTGCTTCTCTGCCTGTCTGCCAGCTGCATGCTATTGCTTTCAGATTCTCCCAGACCTGGAAGAATTTGGAGTGTGGGAGTTCAAGATAATGGTTGTGGACAGTTCAATTTGACAACTGGTGGTGAGCAGCCAGTGCTGATGGGCTAAGGAAAGCTAGGGATTGAGAGAGAAAACAGAATGTTACTATAGTTGGGGCATTTTGAGCAGGGATTAGCAACCTTGACCTTAAAAGAAGTGTTTCTCTAAGTTTATTAGACCTGGCATGGTAAGCTATGGGAGTACTTGTTTCAAATGCAGAGTACAAATACCTATCTCCAGACTTCTACATTTTATTTACCCTGGTTGATTCTTAGCATATTAATGTTTGAGAGCATCTGCTTTAAAAGTCTAAACTTTTTTTTTTCTCTCTCTCTTTCAATTGTACAAGAGTCAAAAGAAGAGACCCTTTTTCTCAGTAACATTTGTGTTTCATAGGAAATCATATCAACCAGGGCAGTGGGAGCCAAGGGGTAGGCAAGGGTAAGGAATAACAGATATTATTTACCCACATTTCTGTGTCCACATCTGAAGCATACCACAATAGGTATTGCTCACTTTGGAGACTGTGAGTATTTTTTAAAAAAGATTGTGTCCATTTTAAACTTGAAGAAGGTGAAAAGGCAGAAAGATTCCCATCAAAAGGTGAAAAATAAATGTTTATATTATAATAACTAACCTTTCCTAGTTTTTATTTTTAAGTAATTTTTTTTAAAGTGCCTAGAAAATTAGGCCATCCAAGCTTCTATTATAGGTCAGACTTTACTGTGTCAATATATTTGTTCTCCTTTATGTTTCATATGCAAATATCCAGTCAGACTGATTAGATTATGAGGGCCTTATAGCCAGGGCACATGTGTTCCTTTCTATATTTGTAACATTCAGCAAGTCATATATTTTCAATATTTATTGATGACTGAACTAAATTAGCATGTACCTCCTCTCTAGGGGGTTGGGGTTGAGCATAGTGAATTGATTGATTTTGGTATTTCTGACATCAAGTCTATGTTGCACTGTCAATAAAGGGTAATATAGTAAAAACAGCCTCAGTAGAAACACATTTTAGTTAACATATAAGATAGCATGGTCCTAATTAATAAATTTGCTAATGCCTTTCCCAGAGTATCAGTTGAAGCTCTGTCTTGCCTTTTGGAATATGTGTTTTGTTGTTCTGTATTTTACGAGTCTGAATCTCAAAAACTGGTATTTTTTGAGACCTGTACACATAAATATTAAAAAAAAATTTAGTTCTAGATGGACACAATACCTTTATTTTATTTTATTATGTGGTGTTGGGGATTGAACACAGTCTCTCATACATGCTGAGCTAGTACTCTACCACTGACCCACAGCCCAGGCCCTAAACATAAATATTTTTGTTTAATGTCTGAACAGTATTGTAGGAATTTAAATAAAATGGCTAGACCCTGCAGTGGAAGATACATAAAAATGCTCAACAGTGTCTCTGACTTAGATCAAGCTGAATAAGGAATGAATGAATAAATATATACTAAATAAAGGGAAAATATTTTCACCCAAGTGTTATGTAGCTTCAGAATTCCATGAGAAATGACTAAAATAACTGATTATTTAAAACATGGATTTGATTTTAAAGACATGAAGTGATTCTGAACATATTATAGTAGACAGGCTTATAAAGGCTGCCAGGAAACCTAAAATTAAATTACCACTAGCTTAAACCTAGGGTCAGTCTAGAATATAAATTTTGTTTTTATTCAAAATTTCATCCACTTTAGTTAATAATAGAACATGAGATAAAGGAAAATAAATGGTTTACCCCCTATGGGATAGCTGTTGCATCCAAATAATAAAGTTAGGCATAATGCCAAAGCAATGCTTTGGTTAGATCACAATACATGACCACTTTTTATAACATGTGCTAATGATGTGTTTTAACAGGATTTTAATTAAATTGCTATTTGAAGGCATAGAAAATTTAAGTTACACAATTTTTAGTTAGCATTTATAATTTAGGCTTACCACTATATATTGGGCATCTTTCGATACAACTGTTTCTATATCCTTTACTTGTTTTAGAGAACTTAAAATCAACAAAGAGAAGAATTCTAAATTAGAACATGAAAAGGATCTAGAAATAGTCATGAAAATAGAGACCAGTTTGCTAAAAGTCTATTGGTTACTACCGTTAGACCAAATACCATGACTATAAACTATACCCTTAACATAACTGTTAGGCTTCATGTTAGAGTAATGAGTTATAGAGTTCAAATTTGATATTGAGTTGTTTTTGAAGTAAAAGATTTTCTCACTTATTATATAATTAAACCTTTTCTTTTTAGTTACCAATACTGTCTGTGGATATAGGTATAGGGAATTTAAAGTTTTAATGATTAAGCCTGGGAAATGGTAAAAAATAAAACAATTGAATATAAAGAACCATTTTTGTGGAAAATTTAAAGTGTATATAATCTTGATGAATCATTAGGATTAACTTTCCATGAAAGTATTGCCTCTGGTTATTCAAATATTATTGTGGTTATACTATAAAAACCTGTAATCAAGATTTACAAATAGGGAGAAGAGATTGGACAACCAGGTAATTGTGTAACATTGTTTTCAGCTGGAACACCAATGGTTCACATGTGGCTATAATAACTCTTTTTATATATGTTTTTCAAAATAGTATCATTATTTCATCGATTTACATTGGAATTTAGAGAAGATATACTATTTTAGATTTTTTTTAGAAACTCAGATTTTATAAAAAAAAATCAGGGTGGTTCTAAAATACTTTAGAATTTGTTTGTCCCCCTTATATTATTTTTCCCCTTCCCCTCACTTCCTCTTGTATGTACTTTTGTATAACTCTGAGGGTCTCTCAGTAGAGGGAGCAGAGAGAGGGGAGGGGAGGGGAGGGGAGGGGAGGGGGGATAGTAGAGGATAGGAAAGGCAGCAGAATACAACAGACACTAGTATGGCAATATGTAAATCAATGGATGTGTAACTGATGTGATTCTGCAATCTGTATATGGGGTAAAAATGGGAGCTCATAACCCACTTGAATCAAATTGTGAAATATGATATATCAAGAACTATGTAATGTTTTGAACAGCCAACAATAAAAAATTAAAAAAAAAATACTTTAGAATGTATCAAGAATTGACTGGCATGTCTTTTGAGGTTGGCATGGTGATACATTTATTGTTTAAAAGGCTTTAACTATCATAAACAAATGTTATTAGCAATTGTTTATTCTTAGCAAGATATTTCAGAATTTATAAATATAAAGATTATAGATAAAAAATATATATGTAGTTTTCATGCATCTTTAATCTTGCTTCTGTGATTGCTGCACCAAAATTAAAACAGTTTTGCAATTATTTGAAAAGCTCTATATGAATATATTTTAATCTAGTTCAGCCATATTCTTAACTGTTCCTTCAATTGCAAGCTCATTCTACTTTATTCTTTTCTTTTGGTGGTGGTGGTGGGGCATTACAGCGGATGAAATCCAGGGCTTCATGCATGCCAGGCAAGCACTCTATTACTGAGTCAAACACCCAGCCTGCACTGCAAATTTAAAATGGCTTTTTATTTTGACAAGTTTGAATGTTTTATGTACAATGCATCAGAAAAGCTAGCAATGACTTGTATTTGCCCAAAGTAATTGAAGGATATACTTAGGAAATTGCTGAGAGATAACCAAACAGATAAAAAAAATCTTTATTCAAGGTGAGAGCAGAGATCCCTCATAGAACAATTTATTTTATTTAAATATATATTCTGGATGGTTTTCTTTAACACATACCTGATTTTGTTTTTAGTACTGAGAACAGAACCCAGGGGCACTCAACCACTGAGCCACATTCCCAGCCTTTTTTTTTTTAAATATTGTTATAAAATATTTATTTTTTAGTTATAAGTGGACACAATATGTTTATTTTATTTTTATGTGGTGCTGAGGATCAAACCCAGTGCCTCATGCATATTAGGTGAGCGCTCTACCTCTGAGCCACAACCCCAACCCCCTAAAAATATTTTATTTAGAGACAGGGTCTCACTGAATTGCTTAGAGCCTCACTGTGATGATAAAACTAGCTTTGAACTTGCCATCATCCTGCCTCAACCTCTTGAGCCACTAGAATTACAGGGATTATAGGCAAGTGCCACTGTACCTGGACACAGACACACACACACACACACACACACACACACACACACACACACATATATATATATATATACACTCTTGTCTTAACACCATAACATCTTTCATCTGTTTCCCAACTACAGAAGGTGTTACATAAATATCAGGAATTACTACTGTTCTGATTTTCCATTCCCCTTCAGCCAATCATTATCTTCCTTGTCCCTGCTGCTGCCTTCTTCTTTGAACCCTTCCCTAGTGCTTACTGACTTTTCAACATACCAATTCCTCACATTGCTGCCCTACTTAGTATCCTTCCTAGCCTATGAAACTATTGCAGACTGAGAGAGTC